CCCCAGTTTTCTCTCACCTCTATACCTGTGTCCATGGAAGTCTTACACAGACCTGTGTCAGAGGTAAAAAACTACCTGTTTATTTCAGATTGCCCATGGAGGCTCCTGTGTTTGTGAAAGACCCATCCAGAAGCAGAGATGCAGCTGCAGTAGTGCTCAGGTTACACCTGCACAGTAATCCCAATTATGCCATGCTTTCAGAGTATCAGATCTGTCAGGTGTCTGTCCTTCTGGCAGCACAGCTCCTGCAGTGGTGACAGCGGGAGGCAGAACAGCCAGAGCCAGCTGGTACATTTGATGCAGAAGATTTCAATTTGACAGGATTTAGTAAATGAAAACTCAGCCAAGAGTCATCAGGAGAGAGATTATTTGACACAGGAGATAGACTGCCCCTACATCAGCTTGCTCTTTAACTGGATACTTTGGTTCTCTTGGGGAATATCATGTAGGAAGAAAGATTTGTGCAGGGAAGGGTAACACATTACAAATGTTTGCTGAACCAAATGTACATTTGGCCAAGATCCTGCCAAATTGAGCAGGTTTTTGATGTCACCTGTAAGTAGATAACTAGCCTGGACAGACTTGAAAACATCTCAGGCTGAGTCCCAGTTTCAAACAAGCCATAGGAACATGCCAGCTTCCACTATGTCACATTCTGCTTTTCTGGGATAAGCAAAATTGAGCATTGACAAAAACTACATTTCTTGGATTTTACATCCTCCTGTTTAAAACATGTGCGCTGGGATCAAGTATTGACTGCACAATCAGTATTTAACTTCAAATGAAGTAAAAAGTGTTGCATAGTTAGATACAGACTAGTGAAGTGTAGGTAGTGTGTAGGTAATAATCAGCTTTAAGAGCAGAAGAAAACTTGTACAATAGATGTTGCTTTCCTGGTGGATTTAAAAAAAATTTTTATACTTTTGAATCAATACTAAGTAAATTATCCAGTAGTCTCTGGGAAGGGAGGATCATGTGAATAATGGTTAAACTCTATCGAGCCAGCTTAAGAGACAGCCTTTGAATTTTTGGCAACAGAGGTGTGTAGCCCTAGATTGGAACCAAACCTTTTGTGCCAACATTAGTGAATAGTGCTAAAAGTTCATGCAAAATAGGACAAGTTAGACCTTTGACATTTTTCTCACAACTGTTGCTTTTCAAATCGCTGCCTTTGCATGCAAACATTTGTTGGATTCATCCATTATGCATGTCCTAGAAATTTGATAAAGGTCTCATAGGTTCCTTCTAAAAGGCTAAAGCCAGCTGCAGTATCCAATTGTAAAGACATGGTTACTGGCTTGCAATCTTGTTAAGTGTATTTGATATTCCTCTGACCTGAATATTCTGGATGGGAATTTAAAAATGCTGGTCCTCTCTGATTTTAGTGAACATTAATGACAGCACACAATTATTCATTAAAAAAAAAAGGTTTAAAGTGTTGTTGCAAGGTCCTCTAGTAAAGATTTCATCTTTCTAGTGGTAACAAATGTGTTACAGAAAACATTGCATAGAAGTAACTGTGTATCTTCGTGCCTGCCTTTTTGAGAAGTGTTTTAGGACCATGACTTACTTCAGCTAACACGTCCATGTGTCTACCAGACTGTGCTCTGCCTGGAATTGTTCTGTGGGGTTTTTTTCTATTTCTAGAAGAAGGGTCAGCAATATCTATGGCTTTGTTTTAATCACATTTGATCAATTGCACTTTACTGTGACATTTTCACTTACTACTGTATTAGATTAGTGGTTCATTAAGAACTCAGGCGAAGGTGATGTCACCAACATCTGTCTGTCTTCCAGCATCTGGATTGCCTACTTATCCCATCAAGTACGGTATGAATAAGCCAGTTCAAAGGAGAATGATACCTGAAATGTGTAATCAAGCTAACATGCTGTGTTAAATATTGTCATTGGTATTATTGCTACCTAGTTCTGTGTGACTTCACCGACAAGGTACACAAATCTTTTTAGAGGGATGCTTTCTTGTACAGATACAGATGCTACTGATGAAGTTTCCTTATTGATTTCTATTCACACAAAAAGGCTTCAAAATAGAGTCAGATTAAAAAATGGAGGCCTTGCCCTGGTTTATATTGCCTTCCTTTATGACAGATTTAATTGGAAATCTAACAGGAAATTAGACTGGAAGATTGCCAACTGCATGGCTGGCATGCCATGAAAGATCAACTATCTGTGTCTTTCATACTGCGCACCAAAGCAGCTTTATCAGTTATCTGGGATTTCTTGTGAATTTTAGGATATCAAATATGGCATCAACAGCTTCAGCAGCAAAAATATTTCGAAGTACATATGATAGAAAAGCTATGCAAGTTTTCATAGGGAGTTTGAAAATTGAGGATGAAGAGTTCTATATTGACATTTTAAAGTGAAAAAGGAAAACGCTACAGAAGCTAAGCCATCCCTAAACACAGCCCTATTGACTGTTCATTTCCTAAGGATCTTTCCAAAGAAGTGTTTAGAAGGATTGCTTTTTCAGGGCTAGCCTCTAGAGTATTTCATCATGTCAGCCACACATTCCACAGGAGTAAAATTAATGGCAACATATCTCTTACAGAAGTCCCTTTTGGATTTTGCCAGTTTACCTTACCTGGTACACAGGGTGTCTCCAGGGGAGATTACTCAGAAGCTATCAACTTGGCTGTCATTTGTTCATTCAAAAGAGATCAGTAAAACCAGAAAGTGAGAGAAAGAGGAGTGCTCAAGTCTTTCTGTCTGTCCTACTTAGATGGAAAAACTTAGTTACACCGCGGCCAGAGTCATATGGAGCTGTTTTCACTGGCATGAGGTCTGTGCTAAGCAAAGGTTTCTCTCTGCAGAGGGATCATAGTGCCATGCCTTTTGACAAAAAGTTATTTCTTAAAGCCATGTTTATTCCATGACCTTGTCAGAAGTGGATTACCATCCTCCATAGACTCTGGTATTCTGTAGTTGTACAAAGCAGGAAGAAAGCACTTGTGCTTGTGAAACTCCTGAAAATAATTCAGCTGTTTACATGTGATGAGAAGTTTCTAAACTAGCCTGCCTGATACTGGTTAGCTGTTTCTCTTTAAATTGAAGCTGCCAGAAATATTTCATTCTTGACAGAAGAAAAAAGAGGGGAAGAGCCATGATCAAGGAACCCTTTTTTTGGCATAATTTAAGGCTGTTTGTCTATTACTAGCAATAGCAATTGGGAGATTAGGCATCTTTTTAGCAAGTTTAAATTAGAAGACTGTAACTCTGCATACACCTTGAAACTGATTACTTCACCATCACAAGTATCATCACAAAACACAACTACAACTGACTATTCATTTCAGAGGCCACAGTCTTTCACAAATTGCTTGAATACACTTTTGTGCACACACTAGTGCTTTTGGCATCAGCAGATGTAATATAATTTGAACTGATATCAATGCAATAGATGGAATTATCTATATCCCAGGAAAAGTTACATACAGCAGCGGCAGCTATTCCATATCTAACACGTGGTGCTTTCAGGAAGGAACAAACTGAAGCAAGGCAGATGAAAATATTTGGAGCTTCAGGCATTCAGGTCAGAGCACATTAAAAGAGAGAGATTTGGCAGACATCAAAGGTGGAGAAGTTTGTATTTTCTACAGCTTTTTGCTTTGTTGACAGTGCAGTTTTAGTTTCAAAAATTATGAACGTCTTACAAAAAGAGTGGAAAAGAACAGTAGGAAAAAGGCTCATTTCTACTTTAGGGATATGGGTTCTTTTCAACTCAATAAGGGTTGCATGCTTGTATGATTTTTGGAAGGGCAAATAAAGTCAAATAACTGCAATAAAAATCTTATGCTTATATTTGAAATGGAAGGACTTTGCCACAGTTACCTGATGATACTCTAGCTGGTTTGTTCATTCAGATAAAGTGGTATTTGAACTGTGTAAGTGTCAGTGAGGTTTGGGTGGTGGCTTGGAGAGATGTTCCTGGTTGGCCTCACTGCCACGGCCCTGTCAACACACATCAGCTGTAACCCATAGGAACTAAATACTTGTTAAAACAGAATCATATTTCATCCTTCATGCTTTTTGAATCTAATACTGTTTCAACAGTTTGCTGGGTGTACTAGATGATTGATGCTGTCACACTGCAGATAAAATTTGTCATTCTGTCATTTTTATTCAATACTTTAGAAGCATTTTGGTTCAAGCTGGAATCTGAAGGAATGTTACACATCTTTTTTACAGCTCACCTTAGTTATAAAAATAATCCATCTAATTCTTAGTGATTAATTGGCAGACATTTCCTAAACACAGACCTAGAATAAATTGGTAAGTTAGTTGTTCCTGAATATGTCTTGAAAGATATTTTTAAATTTCCTACAAGGGGATATAAATTAATATGGTATCAAATACAAACACACAAATTTGTTTATACACAAATATGTATATGTCAACTACATGAAAGGAGATCAGTTATGTTTAATCATGTGCATATTTGGCCTCATTAAACAATGAAAGTAATGGATTAATATCAGCTATTTGCAGCAATTATATGGGATATTGTGAAAAGCTTGTTACATGGAAAAATTTTTTTAGCTCCTCAACTTTGAGTATTTGTTAGAGCTTTTGCCTGTAAAGATGAACTGCAAGGACTATGCTCTGTTGAAATGATGGCTGAAATCTCAGAGCAATATTTCAGTGGTTTTTATTATCCATTATTATTATCAGGTCATAAAATTACTCTAAAAAGGAAAGAGACTGACTTCTGGTATGGCAGAAGTTCCATTAAATACTTCAGAAATAGATACTTATTTTATCCTTGAGTCTACCTGACTTGAATTTAGTCTATATTGAATTATTTTGCCTGTGTCACAGGTCACAAGTTACTGCTGCTGAATCCAAAGAAATAAAGTCCAGCTTGGGGTGAAAACAATGACGGCTAAACTTGCTTGTTCCTTCCGAAACCAGATGCAGGAGATTGTGTTTGGTATCCTTCCACATGTGCTACATCATTTGCTCTTTCTGTGTTTCAACAGGCATTGAACAGGGGCATTGCTGCTGTCAAGGAAGATGCTGTGGAAATGTTGGCCAGCTATGGGCTGGCATACTCCCTGATGAAGTTCTTCACGGGTCCCATGAGTGACTTCAAAAATGTAGGTCTGGTGTTTGTGAACAGCAAGAGAGACAGGACCAAAGCAGTTTTGTGCATGGTTGTGGCTGGCGCTGTAGCTGCTGTATTTCATACTTTAATAGGTAAGGTCACTTCATGTCTAGTTGATATGACTTTTAATTTGTTTCCCTCACCCATTCTTCACACTGCTTAAGCTTTAGGCTTAATATTTCATTTTGTAAGTACAACAGGAGATGCAGAAGAGATGAGCTCTCTTGGGCTGGTATCTTGCCTATCCACGTAATTTTTATTGCTTTTTAAACAGGCTATTAAGGAGCAGATTCCAAGCACAGGGCTCTCCTGCCTGGAAACAAAGCATGCTGCTGATCTCTTTCAGTCAGGTGTGTGAGCAAAACTTTGACGAGGTTGACAGGTTGCCTGAAGCTGATAGCTCAGTGGTACTGTGAGGTAGTAATGATCAGCCAGCAGTATCTGCTGGGTTGGTTTGGCAGGACTTCAAGGTGTGCTTGGTAGGGCTGTTTGTCATTCTTGATGGCATTGTTGGTGTACTCCTTCTGTATCTATTCTTTTGCTACTTATCTCTCAGTACAAAAGTCTCAGCAGGCAGGAGCCAGCATCCTCATTAAACTATCAGGTAGTACTCTCTGCTGCTGCTAGGCATCATCCACTTCTGTTGAATAATTAATCTGTGAGGAAGAGGTTAGTAAGAGCAATTTATACCAAACTGAGACCAACTCCCTGAGTGTACTCTGAAACAAAGAAAATACACAAGCAGACACAAACTGAACATTAAAAAAGGCAGCCACAGGATTTGCAAGTTTTTGAGAGCCTACAAAAATGGGATATCAGCTCAAGCATCAGCCACAGCAATAAAAGCCATTTAACTTGGAAGATTTTAACTTCATCCTCTCCAAGAACTCCACGAGATTCTCTGCACCTTCTGGCTCGTTCTACAGAGCTGAAACCTCTGGACCGTAGCAACAAGGAACAGGAGATTCTGGAGGAAGAAGCAGAGAGTGCACTGCATTGAGCAGGTAAAATCCTAAAAAGCTGAGAGTTGTAAGGGGTGGGAGGGAGGAGGTAATTGTAACAGCCTATGGAGCCATGTGTTGGTTGACAGGCATTGGATTGGATCGGCACCAGTAGGGTGTCATTCCGTCACAGAAAAATGGGAAATGCGAGTGTAAAGGCAATATCCTGAACTGCTGGGAAATCTCAGAGTGGCCTCAAAGGGAGCATTCATTATCAGGCTGTTATTATCTCATGTGCTGCAGTTCATCATATGGAATGGAATGGAATGGAATAGAATAGAATAGAATAGAATAGAATAGAATAGAATAGAATAGAACTATTTCAGTTCCTGCCTGAGTAGGTTCAAGATCCATCTGGTAAACACAAATGCCCCCAGCTCTTACCTCAGCTCTATGTGCCTCCCAAGCACTACAGTTTGTTTTGACCATCATATCTCTTATTCCACCACTGGTATGCAAGCCCTGTGCTATTTAGCTTTGCTCCATGTTACAGTCATAAAAAATGCTTACAGTTATGGCTCACTAGCCAGGGATTAGATATTGCTAACGTGTGCCAGGGATTAAATATTGCTAATTTTATAAACTGAATCCATGCATTCCAATTAATATAATTCACTGATTTCAATTGGTCACTTCTTAAACATGTTTACATTTGAAGCTGTTTTATTGAGTCAGTGTTATAAATTTTGGCCCATTTGTACATTTGGCTCTCATATTTCTTTGCTTGGAATATTTCTTCATCCCCCAGAGCTGCTCTTCTAGTTGCTCACTTGCTTTTCTGCCAGTGCTGGTCAAAGTTTTTGCCTTTGCCAGCTGGATAAAAAGTTATTTTCTAGTCATACAGTATTTTATTTTAAGCTAGAATAGATTTTAAGAAAGTTTTAAGTGTAACTATCAAATTTCCAGGTGAAAGACATAACTGGATTTTCCATGTGGGACATCTTATTGAAAGGAGGTGTTTGGAACAAAGGCTGGAAAACCTGTCAGCTAAGTTTCTTGCCTTTGCCTGGAAGTAGAGCCCTGCTGGGTTCAGAACCCCTGAAATGCACTCGGCAGACACTGGGGAAAAAAAGAGGCTGTGCTTACCATGCTTTAAAGTCCTGAATTAAAGGACTGCACACAATCTTTCAGCTTTTTATGGTGACAGACTGCAAAATATTTTTTGGTATTTTAACTTGTCTATGCCTGAAAATATGCAAAGGCCACAGCAGAGACTGGCAGAGCGCCTGAGGGAATGGAGTTAGTCAGATTCTAGCACCAATTGCCTGGGTGATGTTGCCAAATGTTATGTTCCAAGTTTCCTTTGAACCTGTTTCAAGTCCTGATTATTTTGCTCTGACCCACAGATACACAGCCTGCCTAGCAGGAAGAAGAGAAGGAGTCCAATGACAGGCAGCCTCCTAGGACCTGCAAGTGCTCCCCAGCAGCTGCAAGCCCATCACAGGCTGTCTACAAGAGGCACAAATACAGGTCCCCGGTGCTTGGTGGATGAAAAAAAGAAACAAATAACACTTAGGGGACTAATTTTTTTCCACATGCCATAAATATAGGGCTAAGGAAGATGACATGTCTATCTGCCATAGACTGTCAAAGCCCAGGAAGAAACAGAAAACAAAAAGCCCAATGAAATAAGGAGTACCAAAAGGAAGAAAACAAGTGGTGGTAGAAACACAGTGACCACAATGAATCACCACAATTCCAACTGTGATAGGGACTATTTGCAGTCTACATATAAAGCTCCTCACAAACAGTGGCCTCTACTCATGGAAAATATCAAACCAGACAGTTTCACTCACCTGACTCATGCTTCATTGCTTCAGCACCAGCCTCCCACTGCTGCTTCCCCCCTGGGGCACACACAATCCTCTGTGCCAGTGACTGGCTGAGCTAAACCCCTTGAACTCACAGCTGCAAGCTCTGGGTCCCTCAGTCATCACCCAGCCACATCCTTATGAAGGTCTGCAAAGTCCTCACCAGCAGCTCCTGTCACTCCCTTGTACTGGTAGCAGCAACAACTGAGAACCAAGTTGGCCAAAGGGATTCAAAGCCATCTTCTCATCCTACTTCCAAAACTGCTGTAGACCTTGTCAGTACAGTATTCCTGGACTGGCTGTTTCAGATGTGATCTGGAATACAGTATTCTGCCTTCCTTGCCCTGGGCTACTTTGGGGGCAGCTACTGCCACCAATTAGTCTCCTGGTGGGAAGGTCACTATGGAGCCAGGGTCTAAAGTGTCCTGTTATTTCTGAGACTGGCTTTTTGGTGTCTGTAAGAGAAGGAATTCAAGATGCTAAGCCTGTCTCTGCATATTTTTGACATCTTACTAAATCGCCAGCTTGACAGAGGAGAAAAGTCATTTATATAGCATTTTGCTAACATAATGCATTTCTTAGTGTTGCTGGTAAGCCCTCCATAATAAGTGAGCCTTTTAACATCAGTGTCATGAAGAATATGCACATCTTCTTTGGCAATAAAACAGCATTGTTCAACTTTTCACTAGTTTACTGAGAAAGTTTATTTCCTTTTGAATAATTCTCAGTAGTTCTAGAAACGACAGGACAGCAGTTACTTTGAGGAAATATCCTCTGTGCTTTTTGCTATCCCTGATTAAAAACAACATGATGGATCATTGTCATCACCAGGAGAAAAAGGTTGGAACTTTAGTAACCAGTAAACTTGTAGGTTAACTTTTGCAGTAATCTATGGCGGATTGGATGGCCAAGACATGTGAGTGATTTGTTTTGTGCCCATTTATTGCTGTCAGGCTGCTGAGCATGGGCCATAGATTGCACAGGGCAACACTTCAGCAGTTCCTGGCAATTCCACTGATACTTTTGAACTTCCACATGCATGATCACTGCATGTACGTTAAAAATCTCCGTGGGACTTGAAACATGGGTGCAATCCCACCAATTCCAGTGTAACACTACTGGAATTTTCCAGAGACTAGGAATTACAGAGTGGGTTACAACAAGCTATTTCTTTTAGTCAGTCTTGTTCTGACAAGATCACTCTACTGGGGTGTACTAAACATTTTGCCCTGGAAAAAAGGGACAGCACAGGAACACAAATCAGAATTATCTGGGCTTGCTGCTTTCTCCATCCTCCTCCTCTATAAATAAAAATAAAATGTCATTCATTGAAAATTTGTCCTACTTCAGCATGATCATTGTTAAAGCAATAACATGCTTCCCTGGCTGCCCTCACCCTTTTCCCACAATAGGGGCAGTTGCTTTTCAACAAGCTACTCAGGACAAAAGAAGAAAGCCTATGACCAAAGCACTTTTGGATAGCAGTGATTGTGTCTCAGTTACATCAGGATAATTTTGAGACTTACAAAATGTTGGCTTATATAAAGATATTTCAGATACTAAAAGTCATTCACAGATTTGGGAAAATCTATGTAATGCAATTTTGGAGCTAGACCCAAGCACACAAAAATATGGTTGCAGTAATCAGTCTTCACTGAGATGCTCCTAAGCTGTTTTGGTTTTCTTTAATTTATGTATTACTATAATAAGCAGAGAAGAAAAATCTTAACACCTTAAACACTCATCTGAGCTTTCACATGGGAAAACAGAGGCTTTCTCCTCTGTTTTAAATTCAAGCTAACCAAAGACATAAGGAAATCTTTATACCCTGTTGCATCTCCAAATTAAGTTTTGCTATTGTTTTTTCACATTGGTATTTTCCTATCTGCCCAAATCCCTTTGTTGAACAAATTAGCTCAGTGCATTAAGCATGGTGCTAATAACATGAAGGTTGTGGGTTTGGTCCCTGTACAGGCCATTCACTTAAGAGTTGGACTTTTTGGTCCTTGTGTGTCTGTTTCAACTGAGAACATTCTGTGGTTAAGAAACTCATGAGCATCCGTTTTGGCCATGTGAACCATCTTTCTGACAAGCAGCAGAATAGATTTGTTACTTCTCAAGTTTCCAAGTTCATTTTTAAAACTGGCAGCAAAGTATGTAAATGGAATGTGTCTAGAAAGAACACACTTTACCCAAAATCATGTTTTGGATTTTTTTCTTCCGGTAAAGCTATTTTTGACATATGTAGCTCTGTATCTGGAAGTAAATGGTGTCACTTCCTCTGAGAGTTTTTTGTTTGTGATTGAAGTATGACATGCTCAGTAGCAGTCAGCTCCAAAATAACTACAGTATAGGTATTTGTCTGAGATTGCTGGCATCATTACGAGTGTGTTGTTTTAAGGGTGTCTGAAGTTTGTGTGGTAGTAATTGGCTTGCTAGAGAAATCCGTGTAGGGACCAGGAGATCCAATTAGGTGTACAGTTTTCAGTGTCAATTCTTGACCTTCTGGGTCTTAAAACTCAGCTGGAAAAACCAAAAGCTAATTCTTGCTAAGCAAGAATTCCTGCTTATCTTCTGTAGCAAATCTGATCCTTAGACATAGCAAAACAAATGAGGTACTAGAGAAGAGCAAACAAGCAGCTTGTCTTGACTTTTCTACTTTTCTGTTTTAGTTGAAATGATGCAAGAAGTGGGAAGTGCCATCTGCTTTAGATTTATGTAATACTCTCTAGCTTTGTTGTCTGTGTTATTAATTTTGTACCATTCTTCATAATAAGTTTGTAAGGTTGGCCAAGGTTAAGTTCTAATTGCATCAGCAATTGCTTGATTCATGGCTCAGTGACACATGCCTGTATGTTTGTCAATGAATCTCAGCTTGCTAAATCCTTATTTGTGAGGACAGAAACATTCATGGACATCAGCGAAAGTGATTGTGTGCTTTCACTGACATATGAAATAGTTGACTATTTTGAAAATAACATTTGAAAATGTTTTAAGTTCAACCATTACATATTTAAAACCAAAATCACATTAAAAAGTTCAGTTAAACTTTTTTTTGATGGGGAGAGGAAAAAGAAAATCTTTCATGAGTACAGAGCTCAGTGCTGTTATCCCTAGAAACCTTAAAAATGTGGTGCTATGAGTTGTAAGGGTATAAGTGCCCAGAGAGTACCCTGCCAATAAACTATGACTCTTTTCTTAAAAGTGAGAGTAGTTCAGCCTCTGACCCTTTGATTCTGTGAATATTTCTGTAATAGCAAATTTTAGGTTAAAAAAAAAAACAACCAAAAAACCCACAATGGCCTTTAGAGACAAAAAGGTTACTTATTACTCACATTCTAAACACTTTAAAAGTCTCATTTAAAACAGATGAAGGACAGGGAGATCAGGGAAGGGTAACTTCTGCAGCGTGCTGTGCTTCTGGCACTGCTCTGCTGGAGGTGGCCCCTCCACAGAAGCAGGTTCCTCAGCACGTGGACTACAATTCCCAGTCCCTATGTGGAGGATAAGGTGGTGTGTCACCTGCATTGGTTTTCAAGTTTTTGTGCAGAAGTGTAAAGCACACTCATTGGAACCTAAGAGAAAGTTCAGTGAATCTGACCTTCCCACATGGCTTGCCTCACAAACCTTCCAGACTTCTTTCCTTCATTGAAATAAGTTGATTCAAGAACATCCATGTACTGCCCTGCCATAAAAGCAGCTTTCCACAACGCTTACCATGCAAAAAACCCTTCGTAGCTGAGAGTTTTCAAAACACCAAGTGAAGATTGGCACATGGCTATTCATGCAAAAATATAAGGAGGCTGTGCTTGATGTTTGATTGAACTGCAACAAGCACCTGAGCACTTAAGGGACTAAACTGCCTTCTTAGAACTGAAGAAAAGGTGGAGTCCTGGTTTAAAATTCTTCCCCAACCCTCTGCAAAGGAAACAAGGCTGGGAGTGCCTCAGGAAGATGGCTAAGCAACTTGGGATTTACTGAGTGAATTTGGAGACTGCGAGTCTAACAGTTACAGTGCAGGTGAAAGACATATATAGGGACCAGCATAGGGAAAGAAGAAGTTTTTAACATTTCTAGCAACTTTTGGGCAGTCCTGGTTATCTGGAATGTGGCTTGTGCTTGCTAACAGTGCTGTCATACCTTCTTTTATTTTACTATCTTGTTTACACTGTCTTATTTGGACTCAAATAGTCTTTTCAGTTCTGTTAATCATTTAACTGCTGTGTCTCTAAGCCATCACAAAACAATGACAACTTAAACTCCTCTTTAATTGCTTCCAAGTATTGTTTACAAGTTATGAAAGGCAGTTTTAGGCTAAGAGGACTGAATTTGATGACTAATGTTAGCACTTGTCAATCCAGTTATGATGCATGCATGAAAAGGATCTCTCCTGAAATACCCTGTGTGAAGATTTGTACAAAGATAATAGGGTTGTTATAAATGGAAAATTAGATAGATGTTCACATTTGAAATAGTTAACTTAGAAAATACACAGGTAGGAGAGAACTGAAATAAGGTTCCCCAGACACAAATAATTCTACCATTCCTTGCCTTAGGGGAGATTGGCCTAATAATTCTTGTAACAGCTATTGCAAGTGTATAGAGGAAATCAAGTAATGATGGGCAGATCTAGAACATAGTTTATAAAAAGTTAAAACTGATTTGGATTATTTACCTATGCATATTGTATTTGTCTCCATAGTTCAGACTCCATTCTGAGCTAGCCTTTGTTATTCCTTGGTTATTGGGAAGATTCTGGGATTTTTAAAACATCTGGATAACATGGGTACAAACAGAACTGTAAGCACTTCTGCAGTGAGCTGTGTGGGGACTTGCCATGTCTGTGCAGCCTCAACCCAACGCTTTGAGAAGAGAGACCTGGAAAGAGAGAGTTGTCCAACACTAAAGGTTGTCTTGGGTTCAAACAGGACAGTGAAGAACATGCTGGCAATCAGGAGTGGGAGCCCCCTGAATTCCAGAGGTGCCCTGTTCTGACCTGTGGCTCTCGAGGTGCTGGCTCTAGATAAGGAAGGAACCTCAGGCAGGTCAAGGCTGCCCAGGGACTGCACAGCAAAGCACAGTGTCCTGACAGTCCTGGCAGAGGTGGTCATAAGGCAGAGTAAGGGAGAGACATAATGAGTGTGATTTGTTGCATGCCATCACAAATCACAGTATCATTTTACAGCTTTGGGCAGGTTTACAGGTAATGTCATGAGAATGCAGTGGTAATAGATGGTTTCAACATTTATAAGGCACTATATCCCATGAAATACACAATGCCTGGTGAAAAAGCTTTTCTAACAAAGAGCCTTGATTTAATGAAGGAGCAGTAGATTTTCTGGAGTACCAGCGTGTTCATTTAGCAAACAGATGTGGCACTTACTATACTCATCTCCCAATCCAGCCATTTGTTATCACGCCTCTGCCAAAGGTTACTTTAAAAAGAACCATGAGAGCACTTCTTAGTCATAAACAGCAGCTGGTGAGGCTGCAATATCTGTAGCCCTTGCAGCTGCTTGCTAAGTGGATGTGTGTCTGAGCTCCAAGGCATTACAGCCTTTCAGGTACTTCTGAATGTCTCACCCAAGAGTCCATATGCAAGCTTTGTTTTTCATTCTTATCTTGTTTCTTTACAGCATATAGTGATTTGGGGTATTACATTATCAATAAGCTGCACCATGTGGATGAATCAGTGGGAAGTAAAACTCGGAGGGCCTTCCTTTATCTTGCTGCCTTCCCTTTTATGGATGCCATGGTGAGTGCCTGATTCAGAACTGAAATTTAATGTTAATGCTATGTTTTTGTGACCTTAGTTCACAAACTTTGTTACCAGATGGGAAATTGAAGTATGCAGAAGTAAGGTGTGTCCTTGGCAAGCAGTAATTCTCTACATACCTTGACTCATCTCCTGCTACATGGAGAAGGCATCTGAGTGGACTTTAAACATCCAGAGATCATGACAAATGTCACAAACCTCAGCTGCCTTGTCAGAGTTACAGTATGTGCCTGTTGGAAAGCGCTGGTAGTCTTGTGATGAGCTGTACTGGTTGTCTGTATGTGACCTCATTCTGATTTGTGGTGAAAGATTTGGATTTCCCGTGCATTCCCAGACCTACAGAGCTCACAAGGAATAAAATCAATAATTTCTCAAAGCAAATTTTTCAAAAAGATGTTTCTTACCATCAGTTTTTGCAAGCACAGCTAACTCCAGTTATATCTCAAATGCTTGAGCAAGGGAGCCATACCTGGGGAGAGCTGCTGCTTCCCAGATCAGCAGACTCATTGCTTGTGGCCAGCACAACATGAAAATGTGGCAGCTCCCCTTAATGCCTCTACCTGTGTGTAAAACTGGTAAAGGAGAACCTTCTCATGCCAATGCCTCCACCACTTTCTCACCACTCTGTCTGCTTGAAACAGTTGCTGACAATAAAAAGAAGTGGGATCATTTAAAAGAAGTTGGATTTCTTTTCCAGACAGGATGCAGTGTAACTCAGTGGGACAAAGAATATTACACTTCAGAGGTGCATCCAGCAGGTGCATTTATTAGATTTATCATTTATTAGATTTATCAAATTTATTAGATTTACTGTGATAATTCATCCTGTGCAGCATCTGATTTGTGAAGGGCTGCTTTCTTACTAGATGTGCTCAGAAATGTCTATACAGTCTGTAAATTTATCCCTATTCTCCCTGCCAGCCTGACAACATTGAGGAACTCAATGCAACAGAACTTTCTCTGCATTAATGGCCTAATGTTTGCCCAGGTTCACACCAGCTACTGCTGCAGGTTGTTTGTGTACAATGTAGCAACCAGAAAACAGCATTCTTGGACCTGAAATCATTCACAATATCATAATCATTTCCCAAACTTTTCTCTGTCTTTTTTTCAGGCATGGACCCATGCAGGGATTCTGCTGAAACACAAGTACAGTTTCCTAGTGGGATGTGCCTCCATCTCAGATGTCATAGCTCAGGTAAAGGCTCCTCATAGAAGTCACTGTTCCAATTGTGTTATGGAGCAAATGCTTTCCTAAACAGGAACTCTCTAGTACAGAGTCTCTCTGGTGCCTTCTCTCTCTTCCATAAGCAAGACACCAGAGGAGGCAATCTTGTGTGCTGCCCTCTGACTGTTCATCATGTGAAGGCTATTTGCTGGCAGCTGTGGTTTAGGACAGTCTCATTTGACTGGATCAAGTCAGTTCCCAGGGCTGTTTGCCTTAGGGTCACGTCCTGGAGCCCTTCCACAGCCCTGTTCATAATGGCTGAGAAACAAGTTCTGTATGTACACATGTACATTTGGGGGAAAGAAAGGTCAGGCAAGGAGACCATGGGCTGCTACCAATCCTGAGGCTGAGAGAGTGCTTTGAAATAGATCTTTCTCTCTCTGTACATTCTCCCCAGCACTTTGCCCAGTTCCAGTGAAATCCTGAGCTGGAGATGAAGGCATGATTCTCCAGCTGACCTGTCAGTTTTGCACGTGGTGTCTAACCCAAGGAAATGCAGTGTAAGCCACCTTTGAGTACTTGTTACTGTTCCAAAAGGTGAAGGCTCAGAAGTGCTCCAGAAGGGGTCTGTGGTGATAACCCCTGGGTGATTCAGAGAAGACAAAATGCTTTTTGAACTTTCAAAAGGGAGCTGTTAACTATCCTGTTGTTTTGTATTAGGCACACTGAAAAAACAACATTCATACACACTGTGTTGTAGCATTTAAGAACTAATATACAGCCCTCATTTGAAACATATAAAAATATTTGGAAATGAAGAGTCCCGGAAACTGTAAACAGTTGCTGTAGTGCCCCATTACCAGCTGTATGGTGTAATGACTGGATAAGAGGATAGAACAGTACAACATCAAAGGAAATATGAAGTCAGTGGCACTCAGTTCAATTTTCCATAGCATTTTCCTTCCACTAAACATGAGGAAACCATAAACCAGGTTGAGCTGTTCAGTCAGTTGCTACTCTGTATTTGTCAGGTTTGCCCCTCTACAGTAGTGCACTAAATCCCCAGAGATAATACCAATTACTGCAAATGACCTTAACCCTCAGGGTCTGCTCTTGTTCTGATGTGACCCACAAAGTTTCCTGACCCTGGCTGTCAGGCCATGTGAGCTAAATACAGAAAGAGATTCTTATTTTGGCTGTGCCCTTTCCACAGCGGTTGGTGAGGGGGGTGCCAGGGTTGTGAAGAATAAGACACCTGTCATCTTCTCTCAACAAAATACTACACAGAGCAAGAGCAAATCCAGAGCACAAAAAGTTGTGGCTGTCATAGCTCAGAACTCTGCACCTACATATGCACCCCACAACAGGGAGTAGGGGCACAGGCAGTAGCCACTTTTTCTTGGGTAGCTTCATGTGCACACTCTTTGTGACTGACTTTGCTTCTATTTACTGAAAAGCAATGTTTTTGTAGGTTTGAAAACCCTCATAAGCACTGTGGCCTGCCTCAGGAACATTTGCAGAGTGTGGTTTTTCTTAACTATTTCTACAGCTCTAGCAATGAAGGAGAGAACCTGCTTCTGAACAATGTGTATTTTATTTCTTGTAACTCACTTGAAATGTCAGCACATCCAGGCAGGATTGTCCTGGTTCTGCTCTTCACAGCATCAAACACAGTTGACTTTCCAGTTGTGCCCCCCATCCTGAATCATTTGGAAATTAACAGGCGTTTCATCCACTCTGTACTTAACAAAGAGAATAATATCATATTAATCAGTTCCTTTACATTTTATGGATTAAGCATTCAGTCTTAAAAGGCTGAATTATGAACTGTTCATTAGCCCGAAAGTTTCCATTTAATTTACATTAATGTGGCACTCAGCTGAAAAGCAAATAATGAAATAGTGAAATTTCACTTGAAAAAGCTGAAAATTAGGTTGACATAAGACTTCCTGCTCCTAAATGTTGAAGTGAATATTTAAAAAATCTGGCTTTTTAATTGTCACTATTCTCCCTACTGCCCAAAAAAACCCCACAACAGCAGGGCCATGTCTCCAGCCTTGGCATGTATCAGAATAGCACATTCTCCTGAGAAGGGTGACTCTCAGCCACATGCCTGCTGCCAGACCCTGCCAGACTTTCATGCCAGCCTTCTCCTATTTATGGGTTCTAGTCTGTCACCTGCCCAAACTTCAAGTCTTGTGTCATAGAGTATGAAGTTAACTCCTGTTCTTCTCATGTACATGACCAAATACTGGGGGATCCTGACTAAAGTTTTTGTAGAACTGTAGCCATGCAAGTTGTTGTGTCAGATCGACTTAGGAGGAGCCAGACAGAAATTGGCCCGGGAGAAGCACCCAGACAAATTGTTAATCATCTGTTTGTTTTCTCTGCAGGTTGTTTTTGTAGCCATTTTGCTTCACAGTCACTTGGAGTGCAGGGAGCCTCTCTTGATCCCAATCTTGTCCCTGTACATGGGAGCACTTGTCCGGTGTACCACGCTCTGCCTGGGCTACTACAGGAACATACATGATGTTATTCCTGACAGAAGTGGGCCTGAAATGGGGGTATGTCTTCATGCTTGTGGTTTTTTGAACTCAATAATTTTATGTGGGTTTTTTTTTTTTGTGTTGTAATACTGCATTAAACCACTGTGCATGTAGGGCCTTCTCTTTGTCCTGCAGGAAAAAGCATTTTCAGAGGCATGGTGGAAATTATTCCAGCAACAACACATGTGACACAATGCCTTCCATAGTTTGGATGTGTCTGCTGAGGACCTCTGTACTGAGCTGTAAGACAGCACAGCATGAACTAAGGGAACACCTTAGTTCATATGGAAGAAGATACCAAAATTTCTCTTTTTCTTCAAATGTCATATTGTTTTTCATGTAGCTTTGTCTAGCAGTCAGAAAAAATTATGCAGATAGGTACCCTATGCATTATTTATTGAGATCCATGACACATCTTCTTCTGAATCAGTATTGCTACCATGAGTGAAAATATTTTAGGCTCCTCATACTGAAAATTATTGAAATTAATGTACCAAACTGACAATGGATGGGAAAAGCAGAAAACCTTTCTCCATGCTTTTGGCCGTGTGCTGCAGGTTTTTTTCCAAACTCACTTCATTTTTTTTTATCCTGTGTTGCAGGGAGAAGCTACAATAAGGAAGATGCTGAGTTTCTGGTGGCCTTTGGCATTAATTTTGGCAACTCAGCGAATAAGTAGGCCCATTGTCAACCTTTTTGTCTCCCGGGACCTAGGTGGCAGTTCTGCAGCCACAGAGGTAAGACAGGCAGTGCTCTCCTTTACTGCAAATGATCATTTCCATGGCATTACCTCTGTGCCTCTCTCCTCAGCCAAGCTGACAAGAAAAATTTGTTTTAAGTACATTTCTCTTTAGTGCATTTTTATGCTTGAAAAGAAGATTGATTGGACTCTCACCATGAGCCCTTCTGCCAGGTCTACTGGGACCTCACCCTCAACAAGACTAGTAGAATTTTTTTGCTGAACAGTGCGTGCATCCCAAGTTTTCATGCTCTACACGTAAGAACATATAGTCTGGAGCATTTAGATCCCAGAAATTTTAGGACAGTTGACAGTAGTCCCATGTCCTACTCTTTCCTGTCATGCATATTTTATGGCTGTGCAAATTGAAGTTACTGTTATACTGTTAACAGTCAGTGCATCACACAGAACAGAGACATTAAAAAGTACATATAAAAAAAATTGACTCCTGGTTGGGATATGAAATGCACCGTGTTTCTCTTGAGGAATTTCAGATTAGTCCAGTAAGTCTCCTACAGCTGTTAGGAGACAGATTTCTGATTGTGATGCAGAGCCTTTACCAATGCTCACCACAAGCTGACCCATTCTCCTAAAAAGTCTGGGGAATTTCTGCTGCCAGTTTCATGCAAAGATGTCTAGATGCATATAGCCATAGGATAAGCAAAGGTGTAAGATACTAAATTAAAAGAGAAGTTCAAAGAACTGCTGTAAATTTGTCATACCTGATATGGTATATTTCACTCACTCAGGAGGTGCCAGGCACTGCAAATAAACAGCTGTGAGAAAAGAACTTAGGAAGCTTAACACTTTTACGTATGTGATTTCAGGGATCAGTCTGTGTTAACAGTTGCCTTTGTTCAAGGGGAGCCAAAAATTAGCAAAGATGAGTTTTGCATTTCTTGGTGACTTTCAATTTTAGATGCATCACATTTCATGGCTAGCCAGTTCCATTTTGTTGCTATTAGGATGACTCCAAATACGTGTGATATCTGGGATTTACTGGCAGTTTTACAGTAATGGTCACATCCCAACTTTCTCTGATTTCTGAAATAATTGCCTTTGCAAAGGGAGGTGCTGACAATACAGATAACATCAGTGTCTGGAGCATCTGTATCCACAGGACTTTTTACAGGTCCCCTGTTCAATAATAGCAGCAGCTTTCACTGTGGGCAGGGAGTCCCTGTGAAGGACTAGGCTGTAACATGTTCATGAGGACCACAAATCCACTTGCACTGTCCAGCTCCCTCTGCTTTGTTTGGACTGCCAGTACAGTTGTGGTGATTGGGCTACCCCTTTGGTGCTGGCTTTCATAGGGGCCTTTCTCATCTGTCAAACACAGGTGCTAGACATTTAGGAAAACTTTCATGCATGTATGTTGGAATAACACTAATTGAGGAAAAACACTGGGAAAAAATCAATACTAAAAACTTAATACTTTCATCCAAGCAGAATCTAGCATACACAATATGGTAGGGAAATACTTTTTCCCTTAACAGGTACTGTGTCTTTGCAGTCTTTTTGGATTTAACAATGAAAATAAGCAAAATAGCTTTTATATTCCTTACTTGATTTAACCTAGTTAGGTTTCATATAGATGGAAATTCTGATGAAAATACAATAATGGGAGGGTGTGCAATTAAAAAGGGTACTATCTTAAAATTCCAATTTGTTTTATTTGAACCAATTACTTTTTCAAGGTACATTAAACATTATTAGTGCTATTATTAGCAGGGAAGGATCTATACCACTCTCTTCCTCTCTGTGGATATCATCACATTCCACTCCCTTTTTAAACAGCACAGGGAACAAATTAGCTACATGGTCCTGTGTTTGTATAGATCTTTTAACCAAGCAAAGGCAGCATTTATAATGGGAAAATTGGGTCAGATAATCAAGAAAATGTATTTTGAAAGTTTGGGAGTGAAACAGAAATAGCAGTAGTTTAAAAAGGTCTTTCTTAACACTACCATTGCCAGATGTAAAATTAATCAGAAAATATGTGGATTGTAACAGATCTGAACCTGCAGACAAAAGGCACCCAAGTACTTTGATTTCTAGAGTTAAGAGGGTCAGGCAGTTCTCAGTTCAGATGCATACTTCAGCTCTGAGGACTAGAAAATTTGGAGTGACAGTAGATTTACAAGTAGCCACAGGAAGAGCTCCTAAACACTCTTCCTACATGAAGGACATGTATTTGGACTTTTTCTTCAGCAGCCAGAAAAATCACCAAAATATTTCATACATTAATATGGGGGGGAGTTTATGTCTTTGATAAACCTCTTGGACTGTACTTATGAGAGAGTAAAAGGGCAGTGAATTGGTAAAATTTCAGGCAATAAATTGTTTCTTATAATAAAAATGTTCACCTGGGGTTATTTTTGTCTGGTGTTCATTGATGAGCACCAAAGTGGGCAGAGGTAGATTTTTTTGGTCTTGTTAAGTGCCTCCTGCCTCCAAGCAGTCATTTTGATGTCCAAACTCAGTCAGCCACTGAGATCCAATCAAATATATATAGTCTGTTTTATATATATCCAATCCAATATATATAGTCTGTTTTACTTGAAGCTATCTTATTTATGGATAACCAAGTAAAATGTATATAAATTGAAATTATGTGGTATGATCCAAAACTACTGTGAGCTGCAAGGCATTCTGCTGCTCAGCTATCTGTAGGTAAAATAACTCAGGAGCAATTTGGGAGGAAGGTGTTGGCCTGGTAAGGGGTGCACCACAGCTCAAGTTAACTCTTATCTCAGAGTATCAGAGTGATGGTGAAATGACAAAGTTGATTTAGGTAACTTCATGACACAAAAAAAAATTCATAAGCTTAAAATGCCAGGCCAAATGACAGCCATTTTGATGGTCTTCCTGAAACAAGAAGCTTCCAGTCCCTGGTCTGGTTTTGCATTGTGCCAAGGTCAATGTGGTGATACTGGTGGGTAGTAGCACCCTGTGTTAGTTTCACTGTTGTGTTTGAAGATTTAAGGTTCATGTTTCTCTGTCTCTGTTCATAGGCAGTGGCAATTTTGACAGCTACATATCCAGTGGGACACATGCCCTATGGCTGGCTGACAGAGATCAGAGCTGTGTACCCTGCTTTTGACAAGGTGAGTGTCCCTGTTAGTGCTGTCATAAATACCTCTTGTGGTTTTGCATGTGTGGTTCTCCTAGTTCTCTCTGTTTGTTGTTCCACTGATAGGTTTTCTTAAAATCTAGTTAAAATTAATTGGCTTTCGGTGGCTTCAAGCTGTTGTCTGGTTTATGATTCTAACCTTAGCTCTGTGTTACAAGGTATTAAGCTGCCTTTTGGATAGATAGGTGCTGTAATTTTAGGGATTAAAAAAAGTCCTCACAATGAGGTAGCTACTCAGGTAATGAAGTGATTTCTCACAAAGTGTCATCACTGAATGAGCAAGCTCACGTCTCCGCTCTGGATTTTGTGCTATCTCCCAAGTGGCTTTGGGTTCATTTGCTTATGTTAATATTTAGCAAAGGGTGTTTCATAGACTGACACTAACAGAGATAACAGACATTCTTTTAGTAGTACTGACTTAAATGACCAAGGCTATGAAGATTTTTGTTTGCAAATCATGTAATTATGTAAGAATGCAAGGACTGCTCCTGGAACTGGGCACAGAGCAGAAATTAATTTTGTTTAGTCTCTTTTTGCTCTGATTTATGACAGGTACTCTCTAGTCCCCTTATATTATGCAAAGAACAATTCTGTCCTGTGACTCTAGAATTCAAATGCCAGATAATCTACTTCCCTTTATTTACCAATTAGTAACTGAACTTTCTGGTTCCAAATACTCATGAAAAATATGTTTTCTCTGGAATGTATCTAACTGGAGCAAGCCCTGTTTAATATCATCCACCACCATATTTACAAGGAGAATTTAAAACCAACACGAAATCAAATCAATCACAACCTCCTAACCTGCCTGTGTACAACTAAATTGACCTGTCAGATAAAATACCACAGGTAGGTTTTCTCAGAGGTGCTGCTCAAAAGGAACTGCAGATGCAAACCCAGTGAACTGCAAGATAAAAATAGTTTGGGACAGGAAACTCAGGAGCTGCTAACCTCATTTGATGCAAGCCACAATCAAATGCACTATTGTCAAGCAGTAGTAACAGCAATTAAGACTCCTAAATTCAGGTCTGATTTAGCTGGTTAAAGATACACTGACAACTGCAGAGGTGACAGGATTAGACCAGGATTTGTCCATTCATTTATTTCAGTTAAATAGCTTCTCACAGGGCTCTTGTGGGACACTGTGAGGAAAAAAATGCTAAGATAAGGCACAGATGGGTACAGTTTATCCAACCGCTGGAAAAGTACTCATGGGAATTTTAGTTCCATGTTTGAATAGCAATTTGTAATAAAATGTACAAAATTAGGTAGCAGCAGTATAAAGGGTATTTCATCCTGGCAACCATATGCGTAATTGCCTTCGCTGTACTTTTCAGACAATAAATACCAAACCTGAAACACACAGTGGGTTTTTGAAGATTGCTGTGGGAATTGCTTTTCCCTTGGTCATGCATCACCTTGTGTCACTGTGCCTTCCAAAAGCTTTGTTTCCTTATCATAAGTTTTTCTCAGAAGAGCCCAAATAGAAACACTTTTTTATTTCTGGACCCTGTAAGGTGTCCATTGTGATTTTCAGAAGCCGAAACAGTGTGTTGCATTCAAACTCCCATTTTCTTTTGTTGGTTATTCAGGAGGCTGGCAATGCTGATGGCCATCAGAAGCACACTGACTGATGGGATTTGAGATGCCCCTCTTCAGGGGTTCTACTGCTGAAGTCAGATTATTGTCTTCACAAGGGAAATCATTATCTCTCTTCACATTTGTAAGAGAGATGCAGGGTCCTACTTCAGTCTTTAATGAGACTTTGTGTCCAAAGCAGCCCCATGGCCTAGCAGTTACATTCAGGCTTAGGGTTACTACTGACATTATGGAAGAGAGCAGGCCTATGCTAGTTCTGTGCTCTCTGTGCTGTTTTATATGGTGATAATGCCATTGCTGCTAATGGACCCTGCCACCTGGCTCAGTACAACACCAGTTTTGAGATTTGTGAATGCTATTTATGTGATGACTAGATGGGAATTCTTATTGCTCCATAGTGTTTTGTTCTGAGAACTAAATAGTGTGGAAGAGTTATGACCAAAGAGTATGTGGTCAAGAGGTGGGGCAAAGGGCAGAGTATGGCAAGGGCAGGGATAACAGCAGAGAGATACAAACAGATGAGAAAGCTTTTTCTTAACTGCCCTTTTGGATGGCTTGTTTTGGGTGTGCTTTATTTCTCCTTTGTTATTTTAGGCTTGTTAGAAGGTTGAGCCGTGCAGCAAAAAGTTCATTTAAACAGGGGTGAGTGATGTAAGCCAAGCTTATCCTCACATCTGTGAAAACTAACAGCAAAGCAAAGTATTTCTTCAGAAACACAATTAATAGTAGTAGATGCATGAAAAAATGTTTACAGGGTGTTTTCATAACCTGTTCCCAAAAAGGTCAGATGGAGTGACTTCCTGCTTTAAGGGCCTGGTTGCCTACATCTTCAAGCAAACTTCCAAGCAGGTATTTAGACAGAAACATGGGGCTATCTAGGTGCAGTTGCTGCACTGATCAGAACAAAAGCCTTAAATTGCAAAATTCCATCAAGCACCTGAATGTGTGTGAAATAATGTACTGTTTACAGTGCTCCACTCCCCAAATGTGTCTGCAATAGTTCTATTTCTCTTAAAAGTGACTCCAGTAGAGAAGGCTGACTCTGTGACAGGTACTGCTGCTCTACCCCAGTTACATCTAGGGTGTATAAATGTACATCTCATGGTACAGGTTTTATCAGCAGGTGCACAAACTTGTGTCTCAAACAGTCCCAGGGTAAATGCAATATATGACCTAACAGCCTCTTCCTTAAGGGCTCCTAATGGTAACCTGCTTTGATATCCCATCCTCTCCTTTCACAGACCATTTAGTTTGGTTTTATGCCTTCCCCAAGGGCAATTTTAAATCTTCAGCTTCATTTGCTATATTAGACATTTGGAAGAAGGCTTTTGTTGTTTTAAATAAAACTTTGCTGCCATGTGAGTACAGAGCCCATGTTCAAGGTGGAACATCTAATAGTCCTAATTATGTTCTGTTCATTAAACTGCATTAATGGAGCCAGCTGTTCCAGAAGCTTTGTTTATATTACCTGCTTGTCTAATTGGATCAGTAAGGATGCTTGCATTCTTGATTTGGTACCAATTTGTGGTAAAAGGGAATCAAATCCAGTTTTTTCTGTGAAAACATGCTACAAACATTAAAATAAGGTTTAAAAAAAATCATGTGGTGTTTTCTTAGAAAGAGCTACCAACCTTTTTCAAAGCTGAATTTGTTAAATAGGACTTATTATTTGGAAAAGTAGGGAGATTACTCAGCCCTCAGTGACCATAGCAGCAGTTGCTGTCAGTTTAAGCAGAAAATGTTCTGTAGTGGTACCAAGTGCTCAGAAAGCTCTAGGTTATAAAGCAAACAAGCCAAGTCAGACACGGACAGGCACAGACAGTCAGGTCCAGCACATGACCCTGGTGCCAGCAGCTCCTGGTAGTCTGGAGCCAGGCTAATGTTCTCTATCTCTCTCTCTCTCTCTCTCTTGCCCTAGAATAACCCCAGCAATAAACTGGTGAACACCAACAGCACCGTCACAGCCACACATATCAAGAAGTTCACTTTTGTCTGCATGGCGTTGTCCTTAACGGTAAGAAACCTTTGTTCAGCTCAGTGGTTTTCGTCTCAACCAGAAAATTGTCTCCTCTACCAAATGCTAAAGGCACTAGCAGTTTAAGAAAGGTGAGTTGTCTTGTCTTGGGAAGCTGTGTTGCTTTTATCTGGAGAAGGGAGTGTGATCATAGTATTGGAGTAACAAGAAAATCAGCTGTCATTAGCTCAGGCTAGATATCAAAAAGGTTGGAGGTACTCCACTTTATTTTCACTACTTTTCATTTCAAATCAGCCCCCTGTGCAAAAAGATATCAGAGACCTGCTTTTCTTTTAATCTCTTTTTGTTTCTTTTTTAAAATGAACAAAACTTCATGTAACCAGTGTGTCAGGAAGACAAAAGAATGCATTTGTGTCACATGCAGTGGGATGGCAGCCCGTCCCTGAGCATTTTTCATGTACTGTGAATGGTGAGAAAGGCAGCATGGATTGACCCTGCAGCAGCTGCTCCCTGCTGCCTCTCCTGGCACTGGGTTTTCATGTGGGGCTACTTTGATGCACATTTGTTCTGTTTGCTCTCAAAATTAACTAAAAACGGCAATCTCAGAGATGGTACTGACACTGACTAAAGGAACTAAATCTGTGTCTTTTCATGGGGATGATTTTCAGGGAGAAATTTTGCTGAGCCTGCCATGTTTCAAAATGATCAATTTGCACATATAAATACCGTGCATTTTCCCCAAGAACACTGTTTCTGCAGTCTTCTTAGCAACATACAGGCAGTTGTGGAAGAAAACTGCAGCTGGTGGGAATCATAGCAAATAATGGAGCAGATGACCAGGGTAAATCCAATGTCTGTTTCTATAAAGGATGGATTTATATTAGTGCTTAGGGCCAGGACATGGTCTCAACCCAGTACCTGCACTAGAAGGACAAAAAAAAAGGAGAACCTAGAAAATAAGTTTTTCATAGAAGTCCTTCATTAGGCTAGAAAAGGCTTGGGAAATCTGGCAATTGTTTTAGGATACAATGCTCAAAGTCCTACAATTAAAAGTCCTACAATTAAAACTACTCATACCCCAGACAGGTTTGCTGTTTACCCTCAGCATTGCATACTTTTCATGGAGTACCTGGCTGCTTTGGAACTCTCTTCTCCCTACATTCACAAATTTATTATTGAGTATGGGAGCGCTGACAGAATTTCTCTCTCCCCTTCATTTTAGTGTAGAACCTTTATGTCTGGGTTGGAAACGGCTTATGCATGAAGAGAAACTAACTTAGGTCAAAGGAAATGTTACAGCACACAAGCCAGAAATATTTGTAACCATCTCCACCCCACCTTAGAATGCAGGATACAGAACTCTGTGTTATTTCACAGTTGAAAATGAAGCAGTTCAATCCATCCATAGCTGAATTACGTTTCTTCTGTTCTTTGTTTCCTATACTTTTTCCCTAAACAGCTACAACTGGCCACCATCAAAGGCAGAATTGTATGAACCAATGTGGCATCTCCTCTGTCTTTTAGTTTCCTTAAGCTTGACGTTTTTTCATGTGGCTTAGAGACCAACAGCTCTTGCTCTAACTTGTATTTCCTAGAGCAAGAAACAGACATATGCCTCCACTGAATTGGCCATTGTCTGGAGACTTTCCATGAGACCCTGGCTCTCGTTATCTACCATCACATGCCTTGAGGTTTTCTTTTGTGTCCTGTTCCAGACCAAAGTTATGTTCTCTAGAGTTGGAGCCTCCCTCAAAGTCTGTGTGTTGTTACAGATCCACAAAGGGGAAAGCTTTCCTTGTTCTAAATTGTTCTGAGAATACTATTTCAATCTCAAGAGTTTTCTCTGAACTGACTGTATTATTAATCCCCCATGATATTTATCAGGTTACTGTGATTCTGATAGATTACAAGCTTTTCACATTACCATCACTATCCTCTTCAGAGTAATTTTTAATCACCTCAGTTAGCTTTTGTTTTGTGACTTCCTGGGATTTTGTATCCAAAAGTTCTCGTTTTACTTTCAAGGGCAGTTCTTTCATGAGATCATCATGAGAGATCTGCCCGCAATGAAATTCCAGAAACACTTTTGAGGTCCATAGCTTTTCCTGTCCCATTTCTATTTTTGCCAGCTAGTGACAGATTCTTAGGATTGCTTGTCAACAGACAGAGCAGAAAAATAGACACGAGCTCTAAAGATTAGGTTGTATTCAAAGGCATGAGCCTGCAAATGCTTCAGCACACAAACTCAGCAGATGTTGGGATGACTCCTGTTAATGTGTGCCACAGGCTCTAAGGAAGTAGACTTCAAATTTGCCTCTGTTGTGGCCAGGTGAGCTCCTATGGCCATTGATGATAGCTGTGTTTTTATCCAGGGACTCTACTTCAACAAATGGCAGTCAGAGTAGTGGCATCACCATCGGTACCATCTTGTTCTTTCAGGTCAGAGGGAAGGGCTCCCAGGCTGATAAGGCAAAACAAATCCAGTACTTTACCATGTAATGTAAAGGCATTTTCCAGTGGATGATCTGTAGAAGGATTCCAGAAGATGTAAAGATAAAGGAAGTCCATTAACCACTTGAAAAAATAACAGTGAAGATTTAAGTACAAGCAATGTAAAACCTTGGGAAGCTTTCAATCATCAAAGACATGCTATTCCAATAGAACTGGGAGGAAAATGTCCTACCTCCTTCCACAGACGAGTCATGCCTGCACAAGAAGTACTGCAATCCTACTAATGCAACAGAAGCACCTTGTCACTGTTGTTGGTAGTGACAGTATTAGGTCAGAGTAGAAAAAAAAGGCATAGTTTTGTTAAGAAACATAACTTCATGGGTTGTTTAAATCCTCATGGGATCTGAAAGGCTACACCTGAGCCTTTCCAGGCTAACTTTGCAACATGCACATGTGCTCTGTCAAGGATGATCATAAGTACTGTCTCATGGCTTTGAAGCTGCTATTAATGCTAGGGTATTAAAGCTGCTTCTTCAAAAAATGGGAATTAGTTGTATTGCTCAGTGGAAAATGTGTAGACAAGCTGTTTTATTTAAAGGCTTTAAGTAAAAGACATTAAACTCCTGATAGGTAAGACAGCTGCTGTGATTAGTCACATTGATGTGGTTTTTGTTGTAAGTGGGGATTCCTTCCAAAGCCGTGTTTTGTGACTGTGCAACTGAATGTGAAATTTGTGTAGCAAATTTGTGTAGAGGGAAGGGACTCAGCTGTAGAATTTTTTCCATACAAATAAAGGACCATTCTGATTTTAAAAAGTAAGTCATGCTTGGTAATTTGCATGCAGTTTAAAGGGTGTCCATAATGCTGTTAGCCATTATCTGTTACTTCCCTGCCATTAGGCACTTCGGGAAAAATGCTTCTTTCCATATATAAGCAGAGATACTGCTCCAAATGCCAATGCTGCTGCCATTGCAGATCCGGCTGTTGAAGAACTAAACATTTTGCTTCAGTGCTGTTTAGATGGCTCTGCAGATCAGCCCTGAGGTTGCTGCACAGTTGTAAGCTAAGGGAAGACACAGACTCAAGAGAGAAGTGGTACATCTGTAGCCCATATTCCTTTGGTTGTGGGTTGTCACCCTCAGTACACTGCAGAAGTGCCAAAATAATTTGTCTGGGTGCTAATCTACTGCATTTCTCCACTGCAGCAAAGGTTTGCTCTGTCAGGGGAGAGCACTCCCTCACATATGAGCTGTGCATAGAGGGGCAGGCTCTGTGAGGAGCAAGCTTCTCAAAGGAACCTTGCCATACACAGGGGAGTAATAGCAAACAGGCTGTGCGTTAGCAAAATTCTATTTCTTAGAATTCTAAGAAATTCTATTTCTTAGAATACTGGTGGTGTCTCTGAGCTTGAACACCAGAGTGCAAAATTCAGAGATTTTTCCAAGGCAGCCTGTGATGGGGCACAGATACTGCCAAATTACCTTTCTCTCTCTTTTTCTCTTTTTCTTTCTTTTTTTTTTTCCCAATTTTCTCCCCATTTCCCAGCTGAGCTCTTTTTAAGCCTTCTGTGATGACACAGAAGTTGCAGTCAGTTAAAATCCTTTTCCCTGGCTAATGTTAGCTGCTGGCAGCCACGTGATTAGTGTTTGGTCATCTGCCTCTGAACTGCAAGGCTTTGCAGGCTGATTTAACATCAGTCATCAGTGCTGCTGTACAAAAGTAAGAGAAGCCTCCTTTGAGAGGGCTCAGGCTGCTTTCCTGCAGCCACTGCAGCCTCATCTGTGTGGCCACAGCCGTGCCCTCACCCACGTCTGCGTGTGAGACCGTGTGCCCTGAGCTGAGAGGCAGCCATCGATTGTGCACACTGGGAAATGGGACAGTCAGCTCTCCCAGGGGACTGGCAGCAGTAGCATTCACATCTCAGAATCATGCTGGAAGGCAGGTCATGTCTTAGTTAACACAAGGTCTGAGCACCCTCATTTAGGAGCTGCCACTGGGGTAAAAGCAGGGCCAGCACCAGCTCAGCGTGGCTGGCAGCAGGTCACTGCATGGGGAACACACAGGGTGCTGCTGAGAGAAAGCAGCTTCTCAGAGAGCACTGTGGAAGCTCCCCAGCCCACCAGCACTGAAAGTGACCCTGAATAGTCTGCACTTACTTGTTCATTTACAGCAGGGAAGGAGCAATCAGTTCTTACAGCAGTAGTTCGAGAACCGTGCAATTTGGTTCAGCTTTGTCTCCCAGCAGCCTCAGCTGGGACAGGCCACAGTGGTTTTTGGGATACAGTTCCAAACACCAGCTCCTGTTGCTGCATGGTTCACATCAGCTGAAGTGTTAGCAAGACACGTGGCCAGTTATCTTCATATTCTCTAGTGTTCTGTGGATTGCAACAGGTTTTCCCTTCCCAATAGGACAGGCTCAAGGTGCCAGGGTGACACACTGTGTACACCACACCATGTTCATCCATCTGTCACCAAGCTCATGTACAGCAGGAGAGCTGCACAGTACCTCTAAGTTTTAATATGTGTTCTATTAGAAACAGTTTGAAGCTCTTTCCAGCTATTTAAAAGGAATTCCAATCCTGCTTTGC